GTGTGTGTGTGTGTGTGTGTGTGTGTGTCTTTGTGTGTTGTTGAGGCTGGCAGCAAAGTCGTAGCGACACACTGTCATTACCACAGATTGAACAAAATTGGAGCGACTTCGAACCGACTACGCTTCAACGGCGCACGACCATTACAAAACAAAAAATGGACAAAAGATTTGCAAAAAAGAAAATCAAAAGAAAACAAAACAATAGTTTGTCGTCCATTCACGCAGCCCATCCTCAGACGGTCGGCATTATCCTCCAAAATGAAGATCCAATTCAACGCAAAACAAAAACAAACCAACAATATGCATTTCACATCTGATGGCACGTGCTAAGAAACAAACCGATTCATGCAATGTGTTCGAATTCAATGATCCAGGATCAGCGCACTTTAACGAAGCTGATCAGGACCCACATCCCGTGGCATGCAATAAATTTAAACAACACTATGTTCATGTTCCTCCACCTCCTCCCGTTCCCCGATTTGGCGACATTTGTCGACGTCGAATGACATATGCGCTGTCAACCAGCACACAAAAGAACCATAAATCGTCATCGTGTACAATCGCAACACTACTCGGGGAACACAATCCAAATTGACAGCCGTGATAAAAGGTCGACATCATTGCAGCTCTTCTAAGAGCACGTTCGACAATCACAAAACTACTTGGCCACCACAATCCGCGTTGGAGAACATACTGCACTAACGACGGATGCACCGTAGGGCGCGGAAACGACACCGAAGGACCCTCTGTGGGGCACGCGAGCAATGAATACATAAAACATTAATCAAACAATACTGATATCAAACAATGCGATGGGCAAGAACGCCCCCTCTTGTGTCTACACAACCTCCACCGCGGCACACTGCAGTACACAGGGCGACGGGAACGACTCTTCTTCCGAAACGCACTCATGGCGATCGCGCCGACGCTGGAGACGTATGGCCGAGGGACGTTAAGATCGCTCGCGGATCGCTTTCACAATGTCCAAAAGGGCGTTGCACATCATCAGGTTCACCTGGTCGGCCTTCTGGTAGAGTTCCTTCTGCACCTCCACCTCTCGCTTGAGAATGTCACATTGCCTCGTCAGAACTTAGCACTGCCTCTTGCCCACGCTATCCACCGCCGTCGCCATCAGCTTCCCGTGCTTATCCATGACGTCGACGATCGCTTCGAAGGTCTGCTGTCTGACATTCTTCCTTTTGCCGCCGCCGCCAGCACTACCACCGCTGAATGTCGAATCCCTTGTCAATCCTTGATTGTCGTCCCATTCGTCCCCACATCCCTCACTAGTCACAGATTCGTTCCGATCGCCACCTGGCCCGGGCATCTGAACCCCTCCAACTGCACCCGTGTCCACGAGATTCGTCGGGTGGACAATGTGATCGACCTTCGACATCGCCTTCATCTTGGAATACATACACTCATCCATCCGAAAGTGAAACCCTTCCTTCTTCCTCTGCGTCAGCGCTAGTGTGGAGAAACTTTGCTTCCCGGATTCTCTCATGAATCTGTGCATGATTTTGAACTACTGATACAGGTTGTCCCATTTTTTCCTGCAGTCCACACCCTTCCTAGTTGTCACCCCCGCCTTCAAGAGCCTCTTCTTGACGTCAGCCCACTTCCACGTCTTCGACTTCATCCGTCCGTAGTTGTGACCCAACCGGCGAGATGCATATTCGGATCTCTTTTCGCCTAGACCAGAGCGATCATGTGATCGACGGTCCAAAAATCCCTGCTTTTTGCTCCCCTCGCCTATGGGCGTGTCATCCACAACCTTCTTGCTTTTTCGCCCCGCACGTGGTTCCGTGGACTTGTTTGTGGCCCGACACCCTCCCCGCTTCCTCCTAAGCGGACGAATCTCCATCTCGCAGTCGTCATCTTCCCCGTTCTCATTGTCGCCGTCGTCTGCCTCGCTATCTTCACCCCCTTCGCCATCGCAGAACACGAATATATCATCGCCCCTAACGTTGATCTTCGCCGCCCGTCTCGTTATGCTGGACGTGCTGACTAACGTGATTGTTGCCGATGATCGTCCGAAACCTGTCGACCCAGGACCTCTGTAGCGGACCAATCATCGTCGTCCCGTCGCCCGTCGATTGCATCAGTAGGCGTCGTCGATCGGAAGGTCGTCAATCCCGTTGTCTTCGTCCTTGAAGCGGCCACACCAGCACTGCTCATTGCTCCCTGCTTTGGCGAGACGATTCCATGCTGGGCGGCCAACTCACGGTAACACCCGCCGCGCTCGTCCGGAAGCCCCCCTGCCGTCGCCGAAAGCCGTGTGTGGTTGCTGCCTGAAGTTGGGTTGACGACAACAGTGTGCGTCACTTCCTGAGCACTCCCAAACCTCAGACCGAAGCTCAGATCGACAAGTCCTACGTCGTAGCCGGCCGGGGTCTGCCCCTCCAGAAGATCAATGTACGTCGGCGTTGGTGGCTGTCTAAACAGCTGGCTCCCCATCCAATCCTGCGTCGAACCGCTGGCCAGGGGAGCCGTTGAGGATCGAGGGCCGTCGGCATCGGCGTCACTCGGAGGCAACGGAATCTCGTGGGACGGCAGGTGGCTGTACAACGTGGGGTCGTACGGTCGCTTGGCACCATCCACACCGATGCAACGTAGACGTGAAGATCCCCCTGCCACTGCCGACGCCGTGGTCTTCTTCTGGAGGTTGTCCATCTTCCTCGCCTTCTTCGACGTCCACGGCGTCACTTTCCGTCCAGGAACGCGGCCGAGGAAGCAGATGTGGAAGATGACAACGACAAGCAGCAGCACAACGACAAGGAGCAACAAAGGCAGCCTGCGATACAGGTCAGCCATGGATGACAGGGCACCGGACATGGAACACGCACTTCAGCTGTCGCATTCGCGGAGAGTGGCGACACACTACAGGAGGAAGACGCCAACGAAGTAGATTTCTGCAAGTGGGAACCGGGGGCGGATGGCTACGAAATTCGTAAATTCGACCACTGGGGAGCCCGCCCGAACGCCAACACCCCTCCCGCATCCGGCCAAAGACATCAGATGCTCATCATGGCCCTGCCGACGGGCCGCCCGAAGAGCCAATAGGCCGTCCCATGAATCGCCAGTAACGGTGAACTGAGGAGGTTGTTGCAGGACGTTGTCGACGACGACGGCCCACGATGTTCGTCTTCCGTCCGGTGGACCACGAATGGACCACCTTCGCCCTCCAATTTTCCTTCTGGAGTCAACGCCGTCAGCCCGTGAATCGTGGATCATCGGGCTCCAAAGGACCTCACGAGGTCCTTCGGAGTCAGGGTGGGAAACCCTCGGAGCTCGCGGATTTGTCCTCCGAGTGTTTTCACATTCTTTTTCCGAAAATTGGCTTCGAGGACACGTGGAACGATGGCGAAATCCTTGGAGTTGCGTCCCCGAGGAGTGGCCATGCTAATCTTCTCTGTATCGTTCCAATTTTAACAGACGACGCCCTAGTCCTAAGAGCGCTGCCAGAAAAAAAAAAAGCAGTTGCGCTTCAGGCTTCGGGGCTCGTTCGACACTCGTTGGGGCTTCCTCAGGGCCGAAGGGAGTTTCCTTGGGGGTTTTCAAGGAAATTCCCGCCATCGTTCCACCTGTCCTTGGGGACGTCGCCCGAGGACATTTCCTTCGAACGATGTCAGACAAGAAAAAAGAAAAGAAAAAAAAAAATCAAATGTGTTTGAGGCCTTCAGCCAATAGGGTGCCGCCACAATCCAGATTCTCGGTTGTAACGTCTCTCTACTCATGTGCCCGCTCCTCTCCGTGAAACGCAAATTCCTTTTGCCCAAGGGACCTCGTGAGGTCCCTTGCCGACTGCATCCCTGAGGATAGGTGGAACGAACAATTCCTCGGGGACTTTACGCGCCCGAGGAGTGTCGAACGAGCCCCTTCATCCAACAGGGCGCCGCCTACGTGCATGCCCTCTCCTCTCAGCAACACACGGATCTCTGGACTCAAGGACGAAATGGCTGGGAAATCCTTGGAGCCCAAGGATTTGTCCTTGGAGTGTTTTCACATTTTCATTTCTGATTTCATTTCCGAGGACAGGCGGAACGACAATCAAATCCTTGGAATAGCATCCCCGAGGAGTGTCTAACGAAGCCCATAGTCTGGCTTCCAACCTCTACAACAACCTGGACTTCTAAAAATGGGAAAAAAAAAGAAGCAGACCCTTGGTCAGGCCAGGGCTGCAGTGGCCTTGCCAAAGAAGTGTTTTCAAAAACAAAATGAGGATTCTCTCACAATCCTCATAATAATGGCTTTGCCAAAGAAGTGTTTTCGAAAACAAAATGAAAAGAGACATGAGCCAAGGCTGGTGGTGATTATCTACTACTTTTCTTCTTCCTTAAACCTCCAGTACCTTTCCCATATATTGCCCGCTTTCCCTGTGCGCCAATGATACGGGATGTATCTGGCCAGCGTGGGAGGCCAGGGATGGCCTCCGTGTTAACCAGCGGGCTATCTTGTTTGCCTGGGAAAGGTACTGAAGGTTTAAACTTTAAACATTTTTTTTCAAAATTCCCGATGATTTCTGCATTAAAAAAAAAAAAAGGATTCCTAAGGCCGAAATGCCACGTTGTGCTTCCATAACAAGGCATGTTGTGTAAGCTGTTCCGATCTCGAAGACTCAGGAAAAAGAAAAAAAAAAAAAGGTTACGGTTGGCCGTTGGCGGCTAAAGCATGTCTTTTTGAGCCTTTCGCATGTCTTTTTGAGCCTTTCATTTTGAGATCTCGGCGACCGTTGGTCGAGGTGGAGCAATCCCTACCTCCAGTTCTGTTCTCTGAATAACTTCAGTTGTCCGCAACTTTTCACACATTTCCTTTTCCTTTCTTTTTTTTTTTTTTTTTTTTTTTTTTCGGTTGCACATTTTGAATCTGAACATGCACACATGAATCCAAAACATGCCATAGAAAAACGTCACAAAGCCAATCATATAAAGCTGGGCAATGATATGATTTGATATCAAATGCATACTGACACCAGCACTTTCTTCAATAAATGCGGCCCAAAGAATGATCATTGCGTTGTGATTGATTACATTTGTGCAGGCAAGTCCTACTGTGAGTACACCCTTAGCTCCATTTTTTATTTTTATTTTTATTTTTTTACCCTTAGCTCCATTTCAGTGCAACATATAGCTTGTAGCATGGGGTCAGAAGGTAAGAGGAAATCTGCTATAATAGTATAATGATTATAATCTGTTTTCTTTTTCTTTTCTTTTCTTTTCTTTTCTTTTCTTTTCTTTTCTTTTCTTTCCTTTCTCTTTTTTCAAACTCAGATTGTTCTGAACCATATAAACCATCTGGGGCTAGGTCCCACTTGCAGGGATTAAACCCTTTTTTTTTTTCTTTTTTTTTTTAATGAACAACCCGAGTGGATGCTAGGGGTGCTGGTAAGAGCAGGCACCACTAGCACTCCCGGGGAGGCCAGCACCTGCTGGAGAGCGGGTCCAGCATCCCTGAACATTGTAGCTGTTTGCTTGATCAGACATGCAAGCGTGATGGCAATCAGCTGACAACCAGTTACAGGGCTCACCTACCAAGTATGAAATTTGACAGGTAGAACTTGGACAGTAGCCTGAGTTGCTTGCCTGCAAAACCACCAGTACGTTATCCAAGCCATTTTTTCACAGTCACGACATAATACGTGCTGCTGCGAGTCTCGGGAAGTAAGTACCCAAGCACCGTTTCATGGCACATCCATCCAGGCAAAATGGGTGGTATGTGAGGACCATTTGCATGGATGGATGTCCTCCAAAAAGCTGCCCTGGTACTTCTTGAGAGTCCCGGCAGCACGCACGCCACAACTCTGAAAAAAAAAGTGGCTAGGAAACGTACTTGTGGCCATAGGCCTGTCGATAACGGAGATAAATATCCGGAATCTCTTAGTCCGTACAAGTGGGGTATTGCCACTGGTGGTTTAAGAGATAGTGGCCGTAAATAATAGAGATAAATATCCAAAATCTCTTAATCCGTACGAGTGGGGCGTTGCCCCTGGGGCGAGTCTCACCCACCTAGATTATGCACTTTAGGTAGTGGATCCTTCATGTCGATGTTGAGAGACACAGTATCAAGGGAATGGGACCTTGTCACGACCAATCTGTTTGTTTGTTTTTTAAATGGGAAAAAGGGGATCTGCGATGCTCAGGGCCTGGTTATACCCCTCACCGTTCACAACCATCGATGTCCAGAGTTTTTCTTTGACTACTGGCAGGATCAACCAGGTAGAAAATGGGACAATTTCTTGATATATGCATGTCTGACTCATCCTTGTGCAGCAGGCATGCTTATCTTCTCTGTATTGCCCCAGTTTTAATGGATGTCCCGGAGGACAATCCATGGTGAAACTTAGTGAGCAAGAAAAAAAACAGTTCGCTTGGGGAGTCGGTTCACTTGTGATACGCAGCCTCACGCCCCGCACAGAGTCCCGTACCCGTGGCATCACCAATCAGTGTAAATGGGGTGTGGCCAAGGATTTGGGGTGGGGGTTTGAACCACCAGGACGGAACTGGGGTTCTCGCCTCAGATGCGAGGGTCCTTGGGAAACACCGGCCAACAGGGACAATCACCCGTCTAGTGGGGCGTTTTGGTTTCTGCAGGGTCTTCAAGGGTTTATCTGCAGCGTCTTCAAGGGTTTAAACCACCAGTACTTGGCCCAGCTATCGGCCGCGGAAAAAAATAGAGTAGAAACGTTTCTAGTTGGATGAATTTGGGCGCTCCTGTAGTGGCCCGTACGTTTCCTAAAATTGCGTAGCGTTTACGCTATGCGACTTTAGGAAGTACTGGTGGCTTAAGGAAGGTAGTGCAGGTTGGGAGAGGTGAGCAGCGAGTCACCGATGCCCCTCGGGGCTCTCTGCTGCGCCCCTCCAGGCCTGGCTTCTTAGTGGGAACGGTTCAGAGACATTTTAAACCGGGCGAGGGCCCTGGAACTCATGTGTCTTGTTTCTGGTGTGTTCTCCTAAAGGGATGCTGGGCCCGGTTCGCAGAATGTGCTACTCCCCTGGTTTCCTAACACCTTAGATGGCTGGTGGTGGCTACATCATCTCTCCAAATACCCCCAAAGTCTGTCATTTGCTTTCACAAAAGGATCCTGGTGCTGGTGAGCTGCTAGCAGTGAACCACCCGTACTTCCAAGCCTTCTTTTCCCAATGCCGATTTCTGCTGCATGCCAATGAAAAAACGAACGGGCACATTGTTTTCCCTTTTGGCCTGCCAGCCATTTCACTCTGGTAGGCCAGCCCTGAAGGCCGCAGTGCATTCTCTCTCTCTCTCTCTCTCTCTCTCTCTCTCTCTCTCTCTCTCTCTCTCTCTCTCTCTCTCTCTCTCTC